TCAGCCACATTTCAACCACCATACATTTCTCTCCATCCTCATATTGTTCTTTGAGACATCTCTTGTCTTTGGGAGCCTTCTCAGTGCTTCCTTCTTGCAAAGCAGCTTTCAGGGCACTTGGGTGCAGAGGCATCGCGTTGCGCTAGTACCCCAAGGCAGTAAGCTGAGGCTCCTCAGTCTGCCTTGCCAAACTCTGCAGTCTCACCCAACCTTACCTAGCCCTCAAGGCCACTGTCCCTGCGGTGCTCCGAGTGCAGCAGGGACTCCCAGCAGGAGGTGACATGTAAGCTGAGTACTCACAGGCAGGTGGGAGCTACACAAAGGAGGTGGAGCTGGTTGGTGGTCTGTGGTGAGCTGCAGGTTCTGCAGTTTGGTGTGGGTGGGATGTAAGTAAGGGCCAGAACGTGGGGGGAGCCTCAGAGATGAGGTCAGAGCTTGCAAGCTGGAGGCTCACAAACAGGAGCCAGGCCACAGAGCAGGCTGTTAGGCCACTAAAAGAAATATCACCAAACTTTGTGTTTTAGGAAAAAAATCATGCTGGTTGCGACTGAGGTTGCAGAGTGGAGAAACGGATTTTGGTGCCAGGTGTAAATTAAGGCAAGCTTTCACTCTGGGATGGGCAGAATTGGGGTCGGGGGTTCACTGTAGCACAGAGGTTAATGGCTGACAGCATGGACCCTGGTGCCAGCTACATCACTTAGTAGGTGGTGACCTAGAGCAGTGACACTCTGTCCCTCATTTTCTTCCTCTATAAAATGGAGATAATAACACACGTCATAGGGTGGTTACTCACAGGACTGAAGTAAGGATTAAATGAGTTCATATTTGTGAAGCTTTAGAACATTGCCTGCTAAATAAGGTTTGTTAAATGCTAGGAAGGGTTTCCTAGACCTGGAGCTGGATGTTTCTCTGACTTTAGGGTGTCTTGTACTTTAACAGCTGAGCTGAACTCTAAGCATGTAGTGAGGCCCCACGTTGTGGTTGTATTTCCCCAAATAGTGTATCACTCACTTTATATCCCCCCGGCACAGGAATACATTGAAGATTGAAATCTCATGTCGGACTTGGTTTTATCTTGTCCAAGGGATTTCAAAAAACCATGGCACAGAAACGTTAAGCAAGAGGGACGTCCAACTAGTATGTGACCCAGCTCGAGTCTAACCCCTTTACTGCCTCCCTCGCCTTGTTCATCCGCCCCTCAGCTGATTGGTGTTGAAGGTGGGACTAGGATCCACATCTTTTAATCCTTAAGTCATTGTTCCCTTCACTTTCCTATGAAATAGAAATCTGATTGCTTGTATGTCTGTTTTATGGTGCTTTTAGTTGTTCATATGTATATCTTACTGCCTGAATGTGATTGAATGTTTTTTTAGGGTAGGATTTCCCTCCTACCTAGCATCCTCACTTTTCACTCTTACTTCCCTCCTGATCCTCACAGCATAGCTTGAGTGATCTTTTAAAAACATAAATCAATGTTGTCACTCCACCTCAATCAATGGCTTTTTGTTACTCGTAGGCTAAAGCCAAGATCCTTCGTGTGTCCTGCTAGGACTGAGTGGTCTAACCATTACCTTCCTCTCCAGCCTCTCTCTCCCATTCAGCCACGTGGCCATGGTTAAATCTCATCATGCATCTTCCTACCACAGGGCCTTTGCACCTGCCATTGCTATTGCTTGGCATTCTCTCCCCTCCTCTCCTTATCTCATGAACTTCCATGCATCCCTCAGTGTGGTCCTCACATCCTTGGGAAGCCTTCTCCAATGTGCCCCTCTGTAAGCTGGCCTTGCAGCCCCGAGAATCTCTCCTTGTCCTCTCCTTGGCCAGACTGTGATAATCGATTTATTTGTGTGATCATTTAATCAGTGCCTAGCTTCCTCTGCCTCCAGATTACTAAGATCAGGCCATGTGTGATATCTCTTTCAGCTAACCTTTTATCCCTACTGCCTACTATAGTGCTTATCGCATAGAAAGTGCTCACTAAGTATTTGTTGACTTAAAAAAAAAAAAAAAAGACTATTTTATCTCTCAGCACCTAGCACAGAATCGAATGAAAATAAAGTTTCAAAGAGCACAAACAGAATAATAGCACATGGTACCATAACTACACAGTATCTTTCAGCATCATTCTAAGAGGAGCCAAAAGAACTTTAATGGCTTCAGCTAATAAAAAAAAAGCCTTTAATATTTATTGCCATGGAGTAGATAAACTTAGTAGTCAGAAGTGGATGTTATGTGCACCTTACCTGTTTGTCCATTAGCTTTCTGAAAATAAAGATCCCAAATATTTATTTAATCTTAGTATTTCATATTCTACCTAATATATTATAATTTTTTCCAAAGGTAATGTTTTATTTTTCTCCAGCTTTACTGAGGTATAATTGACAAAAGTTATATGTATTTAAGGTGTACATGATTTGATACACGTGCACATTGTGAAATGATCAACACAGTCAAGTTAATTAAGTTACCAGTTTTTGTGTCTGTGCCGTGAGGACACTTAAACTCTACTGTTAGATCATTTCAAGTGTACAATACAGAATTATTAACTACAGTCACCGGGCTGACCGACAGAACCCCAGGACTTACTGTTACTCAAAGCGTGTACCCTTTGACCACCGTCTCCCATTTCCTCCACCCGTAGTCCCTGGCAACCCCCGTTCTGCTCTCTGCTTCAGTGAGTTTAACTTTTTGAAATTCCACATAAGTGAGATCATGCAGTATTTGTCTTTCTGTGCCTGCCTTATTTCACTTAGTATGATGTCCCCCGGATTCATCTATGTTGTCACAAATGACAGGATTTCCTTTTTATGGGTGAATAATATTTTATTGTGTATATATATAATACACCACATAGCATTCATCTGTCAGTGGATGCTAAGATTGTTAACATGTCTTGGCTATCGTGAGTGCTGCAACGAACATGGGGATGCAGATACCTCTTCAAGAAACTGACTTCCTTTGGATATGTGCCCAGCAGTGGGATCACTGGATCATATTGTAGTTCCATTTTTAATTTTTTGAGGAACCTCCATACTGTTTTCCATAATGGCTGTACTAATTTACATTCTCACCAAGAGTACACAAAGGTTCCCTTTTCTCCACCTTCTTGCCAACACTAGTCTCTTGTCTTTTTCATAATAGCCACCTTAATAGGTATCAGGTGATATCCCATTGTGGTTTTGATTTCCATTTTCCTGTGATGTTGAGCACTTTTTCATATACCTGTTGGCCACTCACAGGTCTTCTTTTGAGAAATGTCTATTCAGATCCTTTGGCCATTTTTAATCAAAAAAGAAAAAGTTTAAGAAAACGGTGAGTTTTAATCCAATAGAAATTAACCCAAACGAAATATTTTAAAAATGAGACCATTCTCAGTGAGCTGTGGGACAACTTCTAGGGACTAGTATATGTGCAATTAGATTCTTCCAAGGAGAGGACAGAGAGGGTTACAAAAAAATTTGTTTGAAGAAATAATGGCTAAAAATTTCTAAACTTGATGAAATAACTATAAACCCCCAGATCAAGAATGACAAACTCCAAGCAAACTCCAAGACCTTTTCTTTTTCTTGCCTATTTAGGACCTCCAGTACAATGCTGAATAGAAGTGGCGAGGGCACATAGTTTTGCATTTTGCCAGATTTTATGGGAAAGCATTCCGTATTTCACCATGAAGTATGATGTTAGTTGTAGGTTTGCCATAAATGCCCTTTACCTGACTGGGGAAGGTTCCTCTTATTCTCAGTTCACCAAGAGTATTATTACAAAAGGTATTGATGTTGAGCATCTTTTCATGTACCTCTTGGCCACTTACATGTCCTCTTTGGAGAAATATTTCTTCAAGTCCTTTGCCTATTTTTTAATCAGCTTATTTGCTGGGATTTTTCTTTTTTTTTTTGCAATGCAATTCCTTATATATTTTGAAAATTAACCCCTTATAAGATACATGGTCTGCAGATGTTTTCTTCCATTCCATAAGCTGCCTTTTTGATTGTTTCCTTTGCTGTGCAGAAGCTTTTTAGTGAAATGTAGTCCCACTTGTTTATTTTTGCTTTTGTGAATATGCTTTTAGTGTCATGTCTAAAAAAAACCATTGCCAAAATCAATATCAAGGAGTTTTTTCCCTATGTTTTCTCCTAGAAGTTTTATAATTTCAAGTCTTACGTTTAAGTCTTTTATCCATTTTGAGTCAATTTCTGTCTATGATGTAAGATATCCTATCAGTTATATCATAATTGAGTTTCTTTTCTCCTTGGCTAAGATCTTAGGCACGTGCAGTTCAAACATGGTTTTAAAAGTGCTCATCTTGAAGTAGTCTAGAAATGCACCGGCAGATACTAAATCCGTAACAGGTGAGGGAACCCGGGCTGCACATAGCTGCAAGGCAGGAAGAGGGGACAGAAAGATGCATTTTCTCGATGATTAGCAATCTTGGAGAATGGGTGAAGTAGAAAACATGAAAAGGACATAATTATTATAGCTGCACCTTGTGAGGCCTGGACTAGACTGGGTGTCTAGGAGGAAAAACATATTCTAAAAATTCAGGATGTAGACCAAGGGAGCTAGGACAATTATCTGAGAGGGTAGGGGCCCTAAGGGTGGGAGGGGGCCGGGAAATGGGCCTACGTATTTCCCCTCGGAGAACCTACAAAAGGGCCCAACTTTCTTCAGGCCTCCAGGTCAGTCCTACTTTGGGGTTGAAATAGGAGGTGAGGAGTTGGATGTTCAAGCCGGACTGTTTGTATGGAGTTTTACCGCGGATGCCTAAGCCTCAAATTAAAGTAGATCTTGCCCTCCAAGTAGTGACTCAGTATGGGATAATTCGGGCTCCTTCCCTAGACGGAGAGGCAGGGACAGCCTCATCCCTTGGGTGGTGGTGACCATAGTGACCGATCCAGGGACCCTTCCCTGGTATTTTTGCCATGTTGTGACCCCACTGTTCGCAGACCCTGCGGCAGAGGCCACAGCCATTCTCACCCCTCCCTGTCGCCCTCTCCCACCAGGAAAACGAGGGCGTTTCCTGCCACTACTGGTCGCTGTTTGACGGTCACGCGGGGTCCGGGGCCGCCGTGGTGGCGTCGCGCCTGCTGCAGCACCACGTCACCGAGCAGCTGCAGGACATCGTGGAGATCCTGAAGAACTCGGCCGTGCTGCCGCCCGCCTGCCTGGGGGAGGAGCCCGAGCACACGCCCGCCAACAGCCGGACTCTGACCCGCGCCGCCTCCCTGCGCGGAGGGGTCGGCGCCCCCGGCTCCCCCAGCGCCCCGCCCACGCGCTTCTTCACCGAGAAGAAGATTGCGCACGAGTGCCTGGTCGTCGGGGCCCTGGAAAGTGCGTTCAAGGAAATGGTGGGTATCTTGAAGAGTCCAGGGCAACAGGGCCGGGCGGTGGCCGAAGCCGAACCCTTCCTTCGTGGAGGGTTCCCTGGAAGTGCATGGTCAGTGCCTGCTGCCACCGGGGCGCCTCCTTGTATGACCGGGCCTCGGTTCTCCATGGAAGTTGGTGGCGGGGTAGAGTTCCTGGCACTGAGTGCTGGCAGAAACGCAACAGATGATGAAAGAGAGAGGTAGTGCGTGAGGTCATAGGCTTGTGAAACATATGCCTGCCACGTCCGTTTCCTCACACACGTGTTGGTGCCAGCTGGTACCGTTCCACCTAATTGCAGCGTGAGCGTGGTTGCCATCAGTTTGACACGTGTGTATGAAGTCCAGGGGTTAGGGGGAAGCAGTGTTTAGGAACGTGCCCAAAAAGTTGCTGCCAGAGAACAGAACCGTGGGGCTGGCTGGCATCCAGGAATCATTGGTTTGACCTGGGCGCGTGGCTGTGTGCGTTTTCGATTGAATGGGTCTGATCCAGAGAATTCAGCTTCGTCCCCTGCTGGCCTCACTGCTGAGGCCGTCCTCAGGAGGAGTGCGCTGCCTCTGGGCGGTCCTTGCTGCCCCTCTGCCCGGCAAGAATGCGCAGAAGGCCGCCCCTGCTTTGTTCTGTTTGACCTCTTTCCCTCTCTCAGCTCGCTTTTTTCTGAGCCAATTATTTTGGTCCCAAAGATTTTCTTTTCTGTGCAACCTGCATACAGATAAAGAGTGAGAGATATTTAAGGATGTTTATAAGCACTTGAGTTAGGTGAGTGGGCAGTAGTGTCCTTAAAACCTGGAGATTAAAAAGTGGTGACAAGCTGTTAAATGAAACCAGAGCAGCTAAAAGCGTCTCACCAGAACTGAGTGTAAACACTGCACATTCCAGGATCTCGAGATGTCAGGTTGTGTGCTAATAAATAATAACAGTAAACATCATCATCTGATTTGTTTGCAAGGCAAAAATAGTTCATATTGTCACACCTCAAATTTGCACCCTCTCCTTACTTAAATGTATCCCTTCTTTGCTCTCAGCTTTTCTCTCCTTGTCACGTAGACACATTTACCCTTTGACTAGCAGGTGGTTTAAAATGCACCTCTGCCAGGCGCTGTGGCTGGGGACTGTAGTCCTAGCTACTTGGGAGGCTGAGGCAGGTCGATCACTTGAGCCTAGGAGTTCTGGGCTGTAGTGTACTATGCCAACTGGGTGTCCACATTAAGTTCAGCATCAATATGGTGACCTCCAAGAATTGGGGGACCACCAGGTTACATAAGGAGAGGTGAACCAGCCCAGGTCTGAAACGAGCGGATCAAAACACCTGTGCTAATCAGTAGTGGGTTGTGTCTGTGCGTAGTCGCTGCACTCCAGCCTAGGCAACATAGCAGGACCTTTGTCTCTTAAAAAATAAATATTTTAAAAAGAAAACGCACTTCCATCTCATGAGTTTCTGATAGCCTACAACCCTGCAATCCCCATAAAAATACCAGGAGGCTGGAAAAGATTATTTAGGAAAAAAGAATCAAGGTAGGAAAATTGACTCCTGCACAAGCTTGGTGTAAAATCTCACTCTCTGGCTCTCATAGAAGCATTGATGTGAATAAATGTTTCTCGACAACAGTGCTCAGAATGCTAAACATATAACTATTTTTAAAGTTATTTATTTAGGCAAAAATGTGACAATAGGTTCTCCCCATAATGGTAGGAAAAGTCAGTTTATTATGTGGTAGAAGTGGAAAACAAAGGAAACTGGGATTTTCATATCCTTCAGTTACGACTAATGCCACAGCACAGCTTTTACTTGGAACTGCTGTATTCTCAATTTTATCCACTAGAGGCCAATGTCACATTGACTGAGGCCTCCACAAAGGTCTCAGCCTCTTCCCGTGAGTGGCTCAGGGTTGCTCGTATTATAACTGTACTTGAAAAGAGAGGTTCATTTAGAAAAATATTTAGTAAAGAGCCTCCTTCTTGTCTTTTAAATTTTTTCAGCTTATAATTAGCCAGTTTTATTACCTAAAATTTTCCTTGGAAACTTAGTTGTCAGCAAAAAAAAAAAACAAAAACAGAAAACAAATTGCTTGTTTCACTTTTATGTGTAATTTATTCAATCAATAAATATTTGTTGAGAACCAACTCTATACCAGGCATGAATGGGAAAAGAGCATTGAACAAATTAGGCAAAGACGGGGATTAAACACATAAAATACAAATGGGAAGAGCCACAAGAGGGGAGATACGGGGTGAAGTGGGGTCTAGTACAGAGTGAAGGATTCCCTGGGGGTGATGCTGGGGGCGGATGGGAGTCAAGCAGGCAAACGGGGCTGAGGAAACCATCTGTGTGAAGGCCCCAGTCAGAGAGAGAACCCAGGTGGGCCAAAGGCAACAAGCTGACATCTGCCTTGGTCAGAAGATAGATTTCAGATTAGGAAAGAGGCAAGGTAAATTGGAGATTCTGGAACCCACCCATGGAGGACCAGGTGTGCCATGTTATGAACTTTAGCTTTAGGCCACATCTATTCTCCATGTTTGTTCCTCTCCAGTCACCCCAACCCCCAGCTTCCTCCTTGCACCCTAGGCCCCTCTGTGCCTACAGCCCACCTGGACTTTGCACCATGGTGCATGGTACATGGTTGGCCTTAGGAAGTGAGAAGCTCATCAGTTCTTTGGTCCTGATGGTACTTGGTAGGGTGGCCCTACCTCATGTTATGCCAGGGATTGAGCCAGTTGATGCCTGTTGTCGCAGGGCAATTACTAATACTGTCCCCTTTCACTCAAGTGTCCATTTGGATGATAAGTCTTCTGTTTAGCTTCATCACAAAGAGATGCTCTTGTTTTTTCTTTGCTTCATCAGGAACTTCAGAAAAAAGTCTCCAGTTTCATAGAAACAGCACCCAACTTAACCGTATTAAATTGCTTGGGGTGAGCTGCTGATTCTGCAACACAGAAATTACACCACATACTCTCAAAATAATGGCCCGGAAGGCCATTGCTAACTCACATAAACTACTTTTTCTTTCTTCCCTCTCTCAATATTATTAGTTTTTTGACAGTCATTTTCTGAAGATGTCAACCTTTGGTTTTCTGAAATGCCTAACACACAATGGGGCAGCTTTGGAATTTCCAGGCCATTCCTAAACTTTTTTTCCCCCTACAATAGCCAGCCACCTAATAGCTTTCCATTTTTAAGTGTTCTTTAGGTATTGCAGGTTTTGTGTCATTCAGATTTTCTGTACTAGGAAATTCAATACTAAATAAGATTGTCATATAGCCATTTCAGCTTTGTGTGGTCCTTTTGCTTCTCTTCCACTTTAATTCCTAAAAGCTGAGTTCCCCAAGCCTAGCACCTGGGCCTCTAGTTGGCCTCCCTAATGGCATCTCTGCAGCTGTCCCCCCTGAGACTCAGAATGTCACAATATCCCTAAAGACAGAGCTTCTCCTTCACTGGGGGTTTTTGCTTTATTTATAGTAGTTCAATGTTGTGGAACCAGAGTTCTTTGGACTCTCTCTGTCTCTGTCTCCTCTCTCTCTCAATGCAATGCTGTGATGTTTGGTTTTTCTCCCTATTTCCTAGCATGCAACTCCTAAAATCTTTGAAATCTTCAGAGTGATAAATGTCTTTTTGCATCCTGATGAGAAGACGGGGGTCGGGGGGTGCTAGCCCTGTGTAGCTTTAGGATGGAGCCTGGTTACCAAAAAGACCAAGGCAGGATTAGAGGGCCGGGGCTTTCAGCCCCATCCCCCAACCTCAGGTTGAAGCTGAAGGTTCACTTGATTGCCAGTGGCCAATGATTTAATCAATTGTGCCTGTGTAATGACGCCTCCGTAAAAACCCAGAAGGACAAGATTCAGAAAGCTTCCGGATAGCTGAACACGTGGAGGTCCCTGGAGGGTGACACACCCGGGGAGGGCATGGAAGGTCCGTGCCCTTTCCCCTATGCCCTGCCCTACCCATCTCTTCATCTGTATCCTTTGTGATATCCTTTATAATGAACCAGTGAACGTGTTTTCCTGATTTCTGTGAGCCACTCTGGTAAATTAATCAGAATCAAGGAGGGAGGTCGTGGGAACCCTGATTTGTAGCCGGTTGGTCAGAAGCGCAGGTAAAGCAACCTGGGGCTTGTGACTGGCAGCAGAAGTGGTGGCAGTCCTGGGGCCAGAGCCCTCAACCTGTGGGATCTGACGCTGTCTGACAGGTTGTAGGTGAAGTGGAGGAGACCCAGCTGGTGTCTACTGCAGAACTGTTGGCTTGGTGTGTGTAGGAGGAAAATCCCCCACACCTGGTCACAGAAGTCTTCTGTGTTGGTCGTTGTGAGGTGAGAACAGGGGAAAGCAGTTTGTGTTTTTTCCATTAAGAAATACTCTTCTCAGTCACTAGTGTTTACTGAGTTTACATTTTACAATCAGCATTCTTCTAGACACCACTGAGGATAGAGGTAAAAGATAAGATCTGGAGGCATTGGTTGTCACACATTATATGAACATAGAGATAGGCAATATCTCATTTACACTGATATTCTAAATAATGTTAAAGGAGGTAGTGAAATGTTGATACCTATCCAAAAGAGTGACTCTGTTAAAAATGTTCAGAAACATCGAATCAGAGTAAATAGTACCTATATCTGAGAAAAGGTAGGAACTAGTTGCAAAATATAGACTAACAGAAGAGGGGGAAAATGCTTCAAACGAGGGGAGGTGGTAACAGTTTCATCAAATACTCTAAGTGGCTTTGAGAGCAGTGCTTTTCGTCTTTGATCCTTGGGTTGCCTGGCTGTGCGTGAGGCTTGGGTAAAGGTGACCTCTGACCACTGGCGTTTAATACTTACTGTGCACGCTGTCAGAAACAGCTTTACCTCCACAACCCTCTGATTGCATCTCTTCTTGGATCTTCCTTTGCAGTGAGAAGGCTGTGTAGCTAATCCCTCCTGTGTCCACTATGAAAAAGAACCCCGGCTTCCTAAAGGACCATAACTGCAGGAACTTTTTGACTGACTTCCATTCTGCTTCCTCACAGTGCCTGGCTTAGTTAAGTTTTGTCACTTGTTACGTTTAGGTTGTTTGCCCCGGGATGATGGATGTGTATGAGGTAAATGTCTTCTCAGTCCTGATTCCAGATCTCCTCCCTGCTGTCCCACCCTCCTCCTCTCCCCTAAAATGGCCGAATAGCCAACATTTCAGACTCGGGGAGGAAGTCAATTCCATCGCTGGGTGAGTCACAGGAGGCCTTTGCCCTCCTAGGAATCAGAAGAGTTCTGGACGTTTCTGGATGTAGCCAGAAGGATCTCAGAGTTCTATCCTATTTCCTTTTCGGTGTGGCTATAGATTCCCCACCACGGTTTGTTATTAGGAAGGGAGGCAAATGGCAATATTTTAACTTGTGCAACTACCATACATCTTTCTATTAGTGGATGGTGGAAATACCAGGCAGCTTGGTTTGTTAATAAAAACCATATAAATAAGTGGTGACACTCATGAACAGTGGGAGAACGAATGCAAAGCTAATTCATAGTTTATGAATCCTAGTGTTTTCTAAAATTAGCATATTAATGATAAATTGGGAACTTGCCTGTCTATCTTTATTTAAGTTAGAGTTTTGTCTTTGTTTTTGTTAGAACAGGAAGTTCCTCCTCCAGGAAGGAGTGAGCATGTGATTCCACTAGGAGCCAGCAGGTGGCGATATTAGGCAGCACAGTACTGGTTTTTTTCTTCCCCACTGCCTGGCTGGCAGATGGCCTTGTTCTCAGAATAAACCAGGATCAGACCTGGATACTAAAACCATGCAGAATCTTATTATTTGTGACTGACATTATTAGCAGTGTGCTCAAAACCATGTTTTAACCCAGCTAGGGAGAGCTGCCAGGTCCTATTGCAAGTACCCATCACTCACTCCTCTCTGCTATGCGATATTGCTTTCCTTTTGCAACCTGAAATTGGTAGGAAACAAAGAATGACCCTGGAATTGCATAATATGTGGGACTTTCAAACCAAATTACAGCCACCATGGGTAATATAATTTTTTTCTTGCAATTCTTTCCTGCTCAATTAGTCTTATTGCACACGTCTTTTTCTTTCCCTACTTCTATTTCTCCTTGCAAACAGGAGCAAAATAAAATCCCAAGTCTTAAAAATTGGATCTATTGCTTGATTTAGAGATAAGCCTCGCTTAAATGTAATATTTAAGCAGACACGGAGGATAACTCAGTCCTCCTAAGTAGAAAGTTGCCTTGAGAGGTCTTCAGCATCCTTGATTGAGCAGGTAAATCAATTATCTTGTTAATTGAATTTATGAGTCATTTAAGTGATCCTTTTAGACCATACTTGAAAGGAATGATAGTATGTGTGTGTGTTTTACTAGGAAGTTATTCTAGATTTGTGCCTGAGGGTTCACTGACAGCTAAAATGGGGGAATATTCCAAATTAGTCCTTAGCACAAAGCAGTAGGCAGTTTTTTCCATGATTTCATTGGTTTTTTGTAAAAATACCCAAACTTGAGGGTTTAAAAAATAGTTCTACATTTTTATTTATTATTTTACCTAGAGTATAACAAGCTTAAGCTAATTTGAAAGGTTGAGAGTTTGAAGAAAAATGGTAGGTAATTCAATGGTAAATATATCTTTATTGACTTCATTTATCATGTTTGATCTGATAGTAAAAGAACCACCCAGATGGTCCTTTAATGTTCCTTTCAGTGCTCAGATTTTGTGAAACATCTTTTAAAGAGGAGTAGGTGGTGTATGTAGGAAAAAATAAATGTGCTATTTTGGCTCCTAGGGAGGAGAGGGGAGGGAAGCAATTATTTTTAGAATATGTTCTACTTGCATGCAGTTTTAGAAGAAATAGAAGAGAGTGTTTTAACATCAGTGAATCCTTCAGGGGGATGAAGTCTGTGGAGACACAGCTTTCAAATTCTTGTCACCGTGATCCCAGAGAGCACGCTTGTAATTAAAGTGCGTATACACACGTGTATTCCTATACAATGTGGGAGAGGGGCTGATGAAAGCATGTAGCAAAATTCCTTGCATAAAAAGTAGTTAAGTTCACTCTTTTTGAGAAAGTGCTGCCAAATTTACCATTCCGTATTCATAGTCGAAACATAGAAACAGGTGAAAGAAACAATGAAATCGATTAGAAAAAAATACTGAATCACTGTTAATATAATAGCAAGGAATTAACTGGGTAAGCTAACTGGAATGTTTCCCCCAAAATTAAAGCAGAAAAATCTTGGTGTTGAACACTGTGCCTTGATTTTTTTCCCTAAGGATTAAATAATTTTTTAATCAGATTTTTTTGTGATATAAACCATGATAAATAACGCACCTACTTATGGTGCAGACTAAACTTGCTTATCCAAGTCCCAGGGGAATTCTTTGCCATGGACGGTTCTTTTATATGGACTTTGTGTACCATAGTTTTCTCCCTGTTGGATCACACCAATGATTTGATTAAGTCTGACAAACATCATTCACATTCCAGTCCATATACTGCAGCACACAAGCAGTTGGGTGCTCAAAGAATTTTTAGTAAGTATTGTCTTTCACTCAGACTTTTAGGTATTTAAACAAATATTGATTCTGGTTGTGAAAGGATAGTTTCTGGAGCTAGAGAAATTCCTTCCAATGTAGCAAAAACAGTAGTATTAGATATACACTTCATATACCAATTTATATATTAATTTAATGAAATATGTCTCTACCATAACATCGACTTTATATGAGTTATTTAAATACAAAAAAAATCTGACAATTTCACTGACAAACTCCTTTGTGGGTAGGGTTATTGGTTCAGTTTTTCTGTATTTTTGGGAGGTTAAACAGACACCTTGATGTTTTCTTTCTCCTCTCTTGTACTGCCTTGAGATAATCCTTCCCACCTGACATCCATGCCCCTCCTTCCCTTCACCCTCCAGCCTCCTATCATTCTTGTGTAGGTCCTGAGAACCATTCTTGGCAATCGATTGCATTTTAACTGAAGCATGGGTCCCTGCTTAATTACTGTCTCAGTGAGCGGTGGCATTATAAGCTTTTTTTGTGAATTGTGGAATCCATTTCTCATATTAAGGAAGAAGTAGGTAGTGGGGAGATAAGGCATTCTAAAACTTATTTCTTCATTTTTCCATTTAACAGATGTTTATTGAACTACCATTTACCTGGCCCAGTGTAGGTGTTGAAGGTTGTAGGTGAGCAAAAAAGGTCACTGTTCTCAATTGTAGAGCCTCCAGGCTGTGGGAAGGTCTAGATGACCCGCTAAACCCCAGCTAATTTAATCCTTATGAAAATCCTTTAAGAAAGCCAATTTATGTAGAGTTTAAGTAAGTGTTAAAAATCCAACAGAGTCCTCTGAAGGGAGCCTTAGTGCTTGACCCTTCTGTAACTCATGCTCCTGCTGTCCACTCCTGGATGGAAGTATTTCCTCACTTGTTGCTAAACTACCACATCCCCCTCCACAGATTCTTACCCCTCCCCCGCTCCTCAGCTCCCCTCCCCCAACCCCTTACCGACTTCCCTCTCGGGGTTGTGTTGGTTTCTCCCATGTCCTGTCTTTGTACTTTTTCTCTACTTTTTAACCAGTATACTGTCCCTAATCAGTATCCTCAGTTCAAGCTCTTCAGATTCCCATTGGTGATTTATCCATCTTTATATTGCTGTCTCTGGCCCCTGGAGCTGGTAACTGTTGCATTGCTGAATTCTCTTGCCGTTCTCCACGAGGAGGCCGGCTGACACAGCTGAGCTTTCATTCTGTGGGTTTCTCAGAATCACGAAGGTGGCCTGGCCCTAGATCTGCCAACGGCACCGTCCACATCAGCCAGGGCACCGTTTCTTCCTCTGTGTATAATTTTACCCAACCCCCATTCTCCTTCCATCTGCCCCAACAGTAGATTACCACTGGAATGTTTGGTGTTATTTTAGCTTGACATTCAGTGTATCTCCCTAACTCAACTCTTATTTTTCTGAGTTCATCACAGACCCTTGCTTTTGACACTAACACTGAATTTCACAAAGGCATCTGTCTTGATGATGCACATCTATGAATAGAAGTGATGGTCTGTTTTTTTATTTTCTTGGGGAGACTTCATTAGGTGGCAGGGTAATAACACAAGCTTTGGAGGAGGAGAACCAGGTTGAAATCCAAACACCAGCCAGGTAAACATGGGCAGGCTACCCCACTTCTCTGCAGCTGAACAATGAGGTTAATGATGGTTGTGAGGATGAAATGAGATTATGTAAAGTGTTTAACACACTGCCTGAGAGAAAGTGCTCAGTGAATGGTGGCTATCATTATGAACGTGTCACTGTTGTAAATTGGGGGCTGTGGGAAGAGGAAAAATCAGAGTTCAGAAGCGTGAATCTTTGATCTCTAAGTCATGGGTTGCTCCTGGTTGAACAGAAGATACCTCTCATCTAGCTGTAAAAGAAACTATCTGAGACTTTGGGTTTAAAAATGTTGATCAGGTCCAAGTCCTTGGCATTCTCAGCCTGTCTATTGTATGTTTCACATGGCAGCCCAGGCAGCTCTTACAAAGACTAAAAATTTCCCATGAGAGATGATATTTATTGAATATGACTTATTTAATACATTGTACTCTTCTCAGTTTTGTCCGAGCGTTATCTGTTTGCCATCCTTTGTTTCCTCTCTCTGGTTCACAGATGGTCTAATATGAGGCAGTTTTATGCCCGTGTCCTCTTCAGAAATGTTCATTAGGTGATGGCAAAGCAAGCACTGAAGGTTTTCTGGTCCCTTCTTGAAGTACATTCGACTGAATGTACTTAGACTGTGTCAAGGGAAGGAGGGTCAGAAAGCCTTTGATACAAGTTCCTACACAATCCAACACTAACTAACTTTGTTTCTTCTTCAGGACCTACAAATAGAACGAGAGAGGAGTTCATACAATATATCTGGTGGCTGCACAGCCCTCATTGTGATTTGCCTTTTGGGGAAGCTATATGTTGCAAATGCTGGAGACAGCAGGTAAGCAAATTACTTGTCTGATCTTACTAATTTCTAAGGCCTTCTGATACTTTTTGTCCTTTCTCAAAAAGATCAAGTGATTAGAAATAAGATAATTCTGCTTGGGGTTAGATATTGACAAAGTCAGGCCTTCTACATGAGAATGAAAATGCATTTGAGGAGCACAATCAGGTTGGGGCAGTCTTTTATGTGTGCATAGTAGCCGTGCATATACCTAGGATAAATCTAAACCAGTATTCAGATGGTTTTTGGCTTCTGAACCTGTTTTTCAATGAAAGCTTACTAGAGGCATAATATGAGAGAGTGATGAGGGGGAGGGAAAGGGATTTGAATGAAGTGGTATTTGCAGGGTCACCTGGGGGGACTCCCCGGCTGGCTCCACTCTGCTCAGTGACTTTGCACTGTCCCCTCCCAGGAGCCCAGAAGTCTCTCCTTTTATGCACATGCCCTTAGAGACTGCAGTCTCCTCACTTCCGGGTTCAGCTAAAGGGAATTTTGGCAAAGAGGTCATGGTTAACCCTTAACTTTATCCAGCATTGCCAGGGAATAAGATAAACTTATATTTTAATTCTATTTTAAATAACCAATGCTTCTTTGCTTTTGGTGTGGGTAATTTTTTAATTACAGATTTTATGAAAAATATTCTAGTATGTGTTACATACTTCTCCCTTTAGTAACAAAATATGCTGGCCATACAGCAGGACGTTTTCCTAAAGACTGACTCTTTATTCCAAAAGTAATACAACTATCAGGCTCTAAACATGATGTCCTCAGAGGATGAGCAGTTTCCCTATGGGGGCTGCAGTCTTAGGATCTGCTCCTTCCTCTGGCCCCTTCCTCCAGATTGCTCTGGCCCTCCTTGAGGTCTAACCCTACTCCCTTCCCCTTCCCTGTCTCCAGCTCACATCATTTGGGGCAATCAAGAAATTCACCTTAATTTTACTTCCACGTACAACGCAGGAGACTTAGCCCTGAGGCAGTCTCCATTACTCCTAGTAAAGCATCCTTTCCCACTGAAGATCTTTCCCACAGAGAACAAAGGACAGTGAACTGCCACAGCAACAGTTTGGGGATTTGAAGATTGATGGTTTTTGAAGGTCCATTTATTTTAAAAGTATATGTGGAGTTCCCATTTACTCTGTAAGATATCTTCAGTTTCGATGTACGATTTTGCCAAGTAAGTGGCAGTATGTACGAGATGCTGTGTCGATTCCAGCATCTCTGGCTTCTGTTCCCCAGTATGAAGTCAAGTCTAGCAAGAGACAGACTCCAGCTCAGATGGGTCACCTGTGAATGCAGGAGTGAAAGAGAACCAGCCAGGAGTGTTAAGGTCCCCAGGAAGGAGTTGACCGCCCTGGGCCGGCAGAGGCCAGGGCAGGAAATGCTGTAGCAGAGCCTCGGCAGAGTGGGAGCCATTAAGAGGGGCCAGTGGGCAGGAGCTGCAGGAGGGAGCAAGAGGAGATGCTCTGACCTCTCTCCCTCGTCCCGCCCTCCTGTCTCTTGCCTGACCTTCCCATTGGGTGAGCCTGGCCGGGAGCCAGGGACAAGTAGCCCGGGAAACGCCCTCCATAGAGGTCAGACTCCGGCTTCCTGTTCAGTTCTGGACCTTGAGCTGGTTAGGAGGCAAAAGGAGCAGTGAAGGGGCGATTCCTTTCTGTTCCAATTACGACAGGTTGGATGATTCAGCTGCTGCACTCACATTCACCTTTTGCTTTCATGTCTAGTTCTGTGTCCTATAAAGTGAGTTTGTGAGTTTGCTTTCCTAGCCTGCCCAGGGAGTAAGGAAGTGACTGAGCGCCTTGCTCCCTGGCGACGGGCCCACCCCTACCTCCCAGGGGAAACGCCTTTCACCGGATGACCTCAGACTCAGAAGTTAACTCAACTTCTGGGCCCAACATATCTTTATGTTAGATGATTATTCTTCTAGACTCAGCTCCTCCCCAATGCGTTTTTCTAATTTCTAAACATAGCTTCCTTCATAGCTCCAAGCTCCTTGACAGAGCTGCTCACCTAGCCAGGGCTTCTAATCCTACATCCCAGGAGCTCCAGCCCCCTGTCCTGGAACCGACTGGTCCCAAGTGTTCATCTTGCCCTTTTTTTTCTTTTCATTCCGATTTCTAGACCAGACCTCAATTTTGTCATGTATAAAGATGGTGGTATTAGACTAAATAATCTCTAAAACTTCTGATATTCTAAAAATTAACCCATGGGGAGTGACACTTTTAGAAAGTAAAGTGGTACTATAATGGTTGATCATTTGGTTATTTTATATTTCTTAGAGTCAGTTTTTGAAATTTTAATATAACTGAGGTTCCTGTGTTTCTAAATGTACAAATACGATGTTTCATGTGTTATTTCCAATAATTTGAAAAGCCTAACAGGTACTTTAATCCTTAATAATTCTGTAAGGCACCAAAAGAAAAATTTATCCTATGTTAAAACAGTATCACTAAAACCTACTAAGCTTAATTACATTTATAGTATTTTGGCCCCAATATCTAGATATGAATTTGGGGTTTTATAGTTGATTGGTTGAATTTGCTGTTCACATAAGCATTATAGTTCATATAAAAACCCAAGACAATTTGAGGTGGTACTTATATATGCTATCCAAAACATAGGACGTTTACTCATTAGAGTACTATTTGCAGCTCTTTTATAAACAATACATTCTTGATGATATCTCATATAGGATCATTGCCCAGTTTATATACTAATAGGTATTCGAGTTTATGGAAATATTCAGTTATTCCCCAGAAAGAACAATTAAGTGAACTTTGATCATACTTACGGATAATGTAGGCCCATTATCCACTTCAGACAAGCAGTCAGGAATGCAGGGTTCAGTTTAAACAAATGCATAGAGCTGACGGAAGATTCCAGCAATAGGGCCCTGATTAATTAAGTGCTCATTTTTTTTCTTTATTGCTAGGTATTAGCTCTTATATGTTTACTTTAGGTCGTGACAATTTTGAGAGTGAAGGTAAATCTTTGTTGTACGATCACTACATTATAATTATTCACACTCAGGAAAAGAGAAACTTTGCACTGGTCTGATTTGGAAGCTGCCAGTGGGCGAGAACTATTTTGCAAGCCAATTAGCCGCGTATCCTCTGATTCACCATCAGGCTTATGCATGTGTGCTCAGGGGTTCTATTTGGGAAAAGCTGCCTGATGCTGCTTGCAGCTTACTGGTTTTTGAATCAGTGGCCATCCTCTGGGTAGGATGGGCCACGGTGATACAGGTGACTGATCCATGGTGGACTGGTCCACAGCCTGGGGCAGACTTGCCCTTCTACTCAGCCAAGCTTGGTGCACGCCGGTTGCTTTATTTTTCCCAGGCAGAGGCAGCCAACTCAACACCTAGGGGATCATAAGGGACTAGGAAAGAAGCAGATGGTGGGCGGATTTTCACTTGAAGCAAAAATGAACCTGTAGCATGCAAATGTCATGCAAAGCAATATGCAAACTCTCACCCATTGTGTTTGAGTCATCAGCTCCTTAGGGCTCTGAGTGATTCTTCAGTTTAGGAAGGAGCTTTGAGTCCATTTTAGAGATAATTTCATTTTATTTCTAGAGAACTAAGGCACTGGGGAAGCAAAGCCATTACCATTTATTTCAAACAATGTCTAAAGGTTTGGCAACTGAGACTAGGTGAAGTCATTTAGATTAAAGAAAATCATTACATATTAAATTCTTAAGTCTACTCTTGCCAGACTTATAATAACAGTGGCAATAAAACAGCTAATAAGTGCTAGGGGTACATATTAAATATTGTAACAGAGGCTCAGACAATAATTCTCTCAGTAATGTAGGGAGAAGCAGGTATTGTTAATATCTGTTAAATACAATTTACCAAAAAAAGAAACAGCAAGGCAAAGTGATTTGCCCAAGGTCCCATAGCTACGAAGGAGCAGGGGGGCTGCCCAGCCCAAGCCTGGGAGTCAAAGCACCGTGTCCTAATCTCCACACTGTACCCTGGGATTTCCCATCTGTGCAAAGACTCACAGGGGGTTTTAATTTTCCATTTTAACATCTCTAAATCAAGAATTTCTAATTAACATTGTCTCTTTCCTATGTATGTATAAAATGATGGCACACCTTATCATCAATAGCATCTCAGATTTCACCTAATGTGAATTATGGGGTATAGTGAGTGGGTGGCTACATTTAGAGGCTATTTTAATTGCATTGCAGTAGTCAAGCAAGTAAGCTTTGGGTGGTCCATTTCATGCATTTGCAGTATAGAAAAGAGTATTTTCCCAAAATGTGAGCTGCCATCTCCTTCTAGGGGTCCCAAAGTTCTAAGACCATTTCAAATGTCATGTTTTCATTTTGATGATAATCTGTTGAAGATAAGGTAAGCATTTCCTGGGTCTTCCGGATGACTGTTCTATAAATGATCACTGCCATGGATTCAGACCTCATTGTGTTGCCTTTATGATTTCTTTGGAAGCAAGGGCCTCACAGACTTTTTCACAATGAGTCCAGAGACTCCTGGGCACAGAGGGCCATCTTCTCACGCTTGAGGGTCCCCCTAGGAAAAGCTGGGGAAGGGCGAGTGTGTTCACTGATTAGCTCTGGGTCACAGGGGTCCATGAATTGTCATTAAGCGAAGCTAGTAAGTCCAGCCAGGAGGATTTTCTTTCATCTCCCTTTCACTTGTTTTTAGTTTTGCAGAATTATCCCCATTTAAGTTAAAGCTTTCTAAATTGGCTCAGGTGAATTCCCTTGGCAAGTGTACCCCTTGAGTATAGGGGTTTGGCACTAAATAAGACTTACATTCCTAAATTCAAAACTGGTTACACATCTGCGGGGCCCTCTCTCTCAGGCTTCTCCCGGTCACTGGTGGTGAGATAGTGAAACACCGTGTAACTGCCTGCAACCCGAGGGCACGTAAAGAACAGCTCATTCCATTTCATGTTCGTGGATCTCGACAGTGGCCAGAGCAGATCCTTCTTGCAGTTCCTTGTTGCTAGTAAGTGGTTCACCCATCTGCA